AACTAAGTTTCTGAAGCTTCCTTGACACTTACGAACATTGAAAACATTTCCATAAACTTCTTTGATATTCTTTGTGGCTAAAGAGGCATTGTTTCTCTTCTTGTATTCAAATAACATTACATGCCAAATGTGTGTGTCGTCGTGTCCCATCACTATAAGAGACTAGAGTATACTAAACTTTACACATTATATAGGCTACCCTAATGTGATGTTTAGGTGGTTAATTTTTCTTTTGGGGGTGGTAATGAAAGTGTTCCAAAAAGCAACATTAATTTCTTGATGACCTAATAGTTGGTTTCAAATTACAAATGAGAACCAAAAACAATACCTTTTTTTAGTGGTCAAGGAGCACAGGAAGAAACTCCCAGAAGCAAAAAAGACCACTATCATGAAAACTGTAGAAGCAAATGTTGTTTGACTGTAATATGAGAGCAAACTAACAGCTGTGAGCAATTAATTTTTCAATGGTTCTATAGTAATTTTTTGTATTGAATTTGTTTGTTTCTTCCTTTGCCTTAAATGTTTCAGTGGGATTTACATCACTTATGTAACTTGTATGTGTGATGCAAACTGTACATCATAGGAAGAAACTTCAAGGTCTGGTAGTGACACCTTAACATGCTTTGCTTACCCTAAAATTTTGTCTGTATTAGTTTATGGTCAATCCTCATAAAAGTATGGGGTCCCCCAAAATAAATTATTACTTTTGATTTTTACCTTTTGTATTCTATGTACTTTTTCCTCTTTCATTTAAATGAGCTGTTCCTTGAGTTTCTTTATGCATGATGCCTACTCACATATCAATAGAATTTAAGGGTAACATTATTCTCACAGTGAGACGAAATGACCGACATTAGGTGGTACTGAGGTTTTCATCATGGAAACTATGATTATACACCTGTACAATGTATGAGAATCAGTCTGTCATTCTATATAGATAAGTATGTCAGTAGCTAATAATCATCCCACATTGAACTGTAATATTTTCATTTTGTCAATAAAAGTATAAAAGAAAATATAATTTAAAACTGATAAGCTAGATGCTCAGGAGCATAAAAATTTAGATTAGATATTTTTTTTGAAATTTGGTTAGAGTTTATGAATATTGTGAGTTATATGTAGTCAGAAAGTTTGGAAGTGTTATATTATTAAGATGTGCTTGTGATAACTTATGAAGTTAGGTTCCTCCTTTGTGGGTCATTTTCTCAACTTCTCGTGTCAAGGTTATATTGTTTAGTTCAGAAGTTTAGAGTTTAGTTGTGTTTTATGCAGTTGTCTAGCTTGGCATTTCTTTATTGTATATTTCTGCAACTTGTGAAAGCTCTAATAACTATTCTGTTTTTCTTTGAGAACCCTAGTATTAAAATTTGGATTATTATTATTACTGTAGAATAAAAAAACTTGTTACAAGGTCATATACACACACAGCCTTCCGTGAAAGTTCTTCTTGACTATGACATTGATTACAGACAATAAAATCAATCCTTAAACAAATGAGTCAGGTTATCTCTTGATTTTTCACAGTTTTTATAATAGTCCCAGTTTTTGAAACCAAGTATTTATTATACAGTTATAGAAGGTCCTTATGCAACCTTTTCTACATTTCAATATGTTTTTGTGACAGAGGAACAATAGATTATGAGGTACAAGCATGTTGTTTCTAGTTGACTTGCATATTATTAGACATAACAGTAAGAACTTATGTAGAACTACAGTGGGCTTCATATTACAATACCTATCATCACAAAATAAAAATAAAAACTAAATGTTAATTTTAATTGCAAACCTAGGTAGCCATGGTACTTTTGATTTGAAAAGTGTAAAAGTATGTGCATACATAAAACCTATACCAAGCTTCTTTCTATATCTAGAGGCATATACAATCTATAGTTCTGGATAAGATTATCTTTCATTGATAAAGTTGTCTAGCTTGAAACTGTTGCTCTAAGCTGGTCATGGTATGTAATTTATTATCCAATATGAGCAAGAATATTTCATATTCAAGAGTATATTACTAAAAATAGTAGAAAAACCTAAATGCTCTTTTCATTTGAAAGAGTGATAATGTGTCTACATAAATAAAATCAAGTGATCAAACTGTTTTACACACCTAGCACATGCGTCTATACAAAATACTGTAAAAATATTTGAAACATGTACTCATCATTGAAGAAGCTGGATTGATGAGAGCTGATATAGCTCAAAAATGCAGTTCTCAGTTGATGGCATCGTACTTTTTATTCATTATGAGCAGATATGCTTCATAGCATAGTCCCTGTTTCGGTGATTTATTTATTTGGAAGATAGATTGTTGTAAGCACACTCAGTACAAGATGTAAGTACATTTAGTAGTGTGATATAATTTTGGGTCAGCCCATGCATTATAGTGACAAGAGCCAATTAAATTTTGAAATTGTGAAGTATATTGTGGTTGTGTAAAATTGACATACTGTATTTTCAGTCCCAACGTAATTTTGTGTAATATTTTCACTTTCTATTATTTTAATTGTCACATTTTCACAAGCTATACTTATTATGTATTTCATTTTTATAGCTAATCTTTCAAGGGAATAAGCATGTCACAGCAGAAGACTTTGTCACAAAATAAAGAAGCTCTTTTAAAATCTTACAATAAGCGAATGAAAGATGACATTAAATCCATGGTTGATAATTTCATTGAGATCATAAAGCTTGCCAGGGTTCCTCAAGATGAAGATAGTCAAGTGTTGCGCCCATTACAGAATAATCAGGACCAGTATGAGATGCATGTGAGAGCATGTAATGTTGTGAGTATGTTTTTGTTTTATTTAATGTCTTTTTTTTTATTGTTGTTATAAAATGATACAATAAACACTGTAGCAATCAGAACACTATTCATAACATAAAAGAATGTTTAGGGACAACAACGGACCTATTGATCCATCTCGGCTGTCCCACCCTCTAAACTAAATTAAAACTATTTTACAAAATCTTAAAGCCAGCCCTTATCATTCACTGTTTAAGGACTTACAAAAATTGTTGCAAGTGGGTGACATATCCAGTCCTTAACCTCCTTCAAAACCTTTGTGGAAATATTATCTGACCCAGGAGTCTCATTCTTTTTTTAAACTTCCCAATTTTTCTTAACAAGCTCAGAATTAATGCAGTCAACTTGTCCAAATTTGTTTCCATCTATGAACTGTTCAAGATGAGGAATACTACTTAAATCTTCATTTGTAAAAACTGAAAAATAAGCAAATTTAATAACCTAGCCACCTCATAATTATCAAATACAAGCCTTCCTATATTGTCCCTCAAGGGTCTTACCCCAATCCTAACATTTAATTTACCCTTAATGCACTTAAAGAAATCCTTACTGTTAATTTTTTACATTTTCCCCAACCTTGTTGATGTCCTAATTTCCTGTTTCTCCAACTTTCTTGATCTTCTATAATCTTCTAAATCTCCCATCATACCAGTCAATTTAAATTTCTTAAAGTTGTGATGTTTTTCTTTAATTTTAGCTCTTATACTCTTTGTGAGCTAATCTGTTTTTATACTTGCAGCCACTCTTTTCTTTCTATAAGGAATATGTTTATCTTGAATATTTAAAAATTTTCTACATTTGATTAGTGTCTCCAGATAACTCAGCTGCACAATTCACAAAGATAATTCTTTTTGCATCCATTCAAAATTTAATTTTTTTAAAATTTGTAACCAAAATATCATTATTACTGATCTCTATAAGCAGCAAAACATCAAACCTAATAGAGCAATGACAATTTGCACCCAAATGTTCCCCAGTTTCCATTTTCTTCACCATTTCTATATTACAAGTTAAAAATAACTCTAAAATAGCATTGTTTCTAGTAGATTCCTTGACCAGTTGGTAAAGAAAACCATCTTGAACAGTTTCCAAAAACACTTCTCTCTCATGGTTTGAGTCTAGCATTTCCCGATCTATATGGTCGAAATTAAAATCATCTATACATATAACCTTATTAACAGCCGAAATCTTAATCTCACTGTAAAGTTTCTCACTAATTTCATCAGTATCATCTGGTGATCTGTAACAAATTCCCACTAAAAGTCTTTCCCTTTATAATTGCTAATAGAAACCCATGTGGACTCGGTCTCTATGCTGTTATCTTTGATATCCTCAACTTCAACAGGATGTATCTCACATTTTACATATAGAGCCACTCCTCCCCCTCTCTTTTGAACTCTTTCACTATTAAATAACCTATAACCCTGGCCTTTTGTTACAACAACAATTGTTAAGGTGTGAATGGCTTTAAGAAACTAGCAAAGCATCATATAATTAGTTATATTTATCATAAGACATTTTGTTAGGCTTACTATATTTTTTAACTTCAACACTGAAGCTCTAAATTGGGTAAAACCCATTATTGGCAATGGATGTGACAAATGTAATGTGGTTGAAGAACTATTATTATATGCTGTTCTAATTCTTGAAAGTCTATGAGGGATTGGCATAAGAATGTCATGTTGAAAAATATTCTAGGCCTAATGTAATGTCTTATAACAAATATAATTAATTAAATTCAGAACTATATTACTATATTTCAAGATAAATATTAAATCCAGTTATCATATTCTTGTTGACCATGTCTTCTCCATTTTTTATGCACCATTTTGTGATACCACTTCTCTCAAAATTCACTAGTATTTATTAGTAGTCATCAGTTAAAACTATTTAATACTGGGTTGGACATTTTATTTTTGCTTTGACAATAGCATAGACTGTTTGGCATGGATTTCAAAATATAATAGAAGGAATCTTGTTCAGTTACAGCCCATTCCTGAAAGAGTATGATCTGGAGTTGCTTCACAGAGCTAGGCAGAGAATTATGGTGACATATATTAATGTTCATCATGAAGATGATTGATTGGATTAAAATTTGTTGACTGCATTGACCAAGAAAGATAACTTAAATTAGTTTCATGCTGTTTGAACCAATTTCTGACCACAGAATTATAATTGCATTATAACCTTGAAATAATGCTTGTCTATCAGGGTAGAAAACATCTTTCTGATACATTACACAACCTCTGCTCACATAAATAGCTATTCTTGTTAAGTGCTGCCCTCTATATGCAAACAATTTTTTTTGCATGTCACGAGCCTTAAAGCTCCCACCGATCTTTGAATTGACTGATTCAAATGCAAATCATCATGCGAAAACCCTCCACCAATAAGAGTGCGACACACCTCTTGATGCTTGTGAATCCCTCTATTCAATTCTACCGAACTATCACTTCTTAATGGGATATCAATCATTCATTTAACTATATTGTTTATATTCCATACATCGTGTCTCATACATATGTTATTGTTACTACACCCTTACTTAATTTTATACATTCACGTCTATTTAATTTTCGTTGTTATTTATCTTTTATCCTTCTTCCTATTCAATTGGTTTGTGTGGAACTCTTGAGCCGGGGTCCACACAAACTTATCCCGATATTGTACATACTTAATGTTAGGTTAAAATTTTTATTTTAGTGCTTAGTGATATCCTGTGTTCTGTACTGTTCGATTAGGCTTAAGAAGTGTTTGTTATTTTCGGTTTACTCATAGTTCAACTTTTGGGTTAATCGATAATTAGATTAAATATCTTGTTCGATTAAACTTAACAAGTGTCCGTTATTTTTGGTTTACCAGTGTTCTTATTTATGGGTTAATTGATAATGAGGTTAAATATATTTTCTTCAACACATAACATCACATACATATGTTTATTTCCCTACATAATTTCATAAAATTTTCACTATATCAACTGTTTCATTTTCATCTTTCTTTATAGTTTATACTTCTTACCATTAATTTTGTTTGTGAGGGCCCCTGGGGACCAGAACCCACCCTACCAGGTTCCACTATTGCTTCCCTACCTCCTATAATGGCTGAACCCATTTTCAGACAACCTAGATTTTGTCAGTTTTCCTCCACTTTATCATGGATCACCTTCCAGGCTTCTACTGCAAAATCTGCCAGGCATATCCCAGTTTTTTTAGACACGTTTCACAGTATATTCCGATTCTCATGACATTGTTTCATGATGATCTTATTGTCTCTCTTTGGAGAGTGGGTACTTGCACGCCTCACTATATACAGGCTTTAATTCCTTTTTACCTAGCTTACCATCTGGCAGATCTTCTTCCTAATTTTATGTTATTCGCATCTCTGTTAATACTATCTATTTTATCCCCTATCTAGTTTTTTAGCTTTGTTTTACCTTATTGACTATCCTACAGTTAATGTTTACCATCCACCTTCTTTCTATGGTGTTCCACTTATATTAAGGGATTTTTGTGGAATACCTCCTCTTTTTTTCCCTTCATATTGAAGTTTTTGCCATCTTCAGTTCTTTCTCTCCACGCATGGCTTCTTTGCTTTTGGGATCTTCTTGTTTCCCATCCACTGCTAATAGGGACTTATGATTAGTTCTTTTTCTCCACTGGTCCATCTTTTTGACTACTCCTGTACATTAAGCATCATGCAGGATATCTGTGATACTATATTAAATTTTCTTTTGTTGCTCTTTTGTTTTCATTATGAGATATTATCATCTTTATTCATTTTACATGTTTGGCACCTTCCCGTCCTTTACCTGTGTTCTTCATTCTTCTTGTATGCTTGATGCTGATTGAGGTTCTGGATCGATCGATTCCATCTCAATCAATTCTTGGGTCTTCTCTGTTTTAATATGTAGTCTTTGATCACATTTGGGTAGGCTGTTTCTGCATGACTGCAAATGCCCACAGTACTTACCTTTGGTTTTTTCACCACGTGACTCGGTACCAGTTTTGTGCCTTGACCTTTGGACTTCTTTCAGTTCCATATGTCTATTGTGGAGCAGTCTGCATTTTACCCGACTTCCACATTTTAGGTTTTTTTCTGTACACCATTCATTGGATGTCTAGCTTTGGTTATCTCCTTCCAAATAGGAGTAGTCTTAACATATTCATCTACTCCTTCCACAGTCAGTTCAGGTAGTTGGATTTTTCAGTTGGATAAGTTTTTCCTGTTACATACCCCACATTCTAATCTCTTTGAGGTATGTATTTTAAACACCTCCTTCATCAGGACCATCCATTCTCCTCCTCCTTGAACGCATTCGAAGGAGTTTTCTGTTATCTGAGCCTTTACTTTGGGTTTTCTTCTTAATTGTCATCCTTCCCTCTTTGTCCATATGTGTTGATAGTTGAACATATCCTCCATGACATCAGGTTTACAGCTTTCTCCCCCTCTTCTGGATTGTTTCTCTTCCTTGATGGGAGGGGGGGAGGTGTTGTGTGGTTTGATTAGTAGGAAGCTTCAGGCAAAATGTATTTCCTATACTGAAAATGTATACTGAGAATGTATGTTCTAAATCCTTTTGTAAATAAGCAGCATTTACTCTTCACAGCTAGATACACCCAATACCTTAATATCATCTGCAAATTTAAGTAATTTATTAACCATTTCCTCATTTATATCATTGATGTAAATCAAAAAAAGCAATGGTCCTAAGACTGAGCCTTGAGATACCCCACTTGTGACATTAATCCAGTTTGACTGAACTCCATTTTAACAATCCTTTGCTTTCTTCCATCCAGCCACTCTTCTATCCAATTTGCTAACTTATCCCCCACACCTATAGAGATTTTTTTTACAAGCCTTTTATATGGCACCTTATAAAATGCTTTCTGAAAATCAAGATACGTGAAATCTACACTCTTACCCTCATCTACATAAGCAGTAACCTTTGTTTTCAAAGAATGTCAAAGATTTGTAATGCACTGTTTTACCTTAGTTGAAACCATGTTGACTATCAAATAAAATTCTAAACTTTGTAAAATGGCTTTGCAAAGCTTGTTTTATCAGACTTTCCAAAACCTTTCCCACAATTGATGTAAGACTAATGGGTCTATAATTACTGGGGCAATTTTTATCACCTCCCTTGAAAAGAGGAGTGACATTAGCTAATTTCCAGTCCTCTGGTACTTGCCACTATAAAAGATAGTAGCAAATGGCTCATATATCCAATCCTTAACACTCTTCAAAACCCTTGAGGAAATATTATCTGGCCCAAGAGCCTTATCGTTCTTTATACTTCCCAATTTTTTCTTAAAAAGCTCAGAATTAATGCAATCATCTTCTTCAATCTTGTTTCCATCTATCAACTGTTCAGGATGTGGAATACTGCTTAAATCTTCACCAGTAAAAACTGAAGAAAAAGCAAAATTTAATAAACCAGCCACCTCATAATCATCAGATACTAGCCTTCATTTATCATCCCTCAAGGGTCCTACCCACATCCTAACATTTTATTTACAATTAATATATTTAAAGGAATCCTTACTGTTAATTTTTACATTTTCAGCCAACCTTTTCACATACATCCTTCTTGATGTCCTAATTTCCTCTTTTACCAACTTTCTTGATCTTCTATAATCTTATAAATTTCCTGTCACACTAGTAAAATCAAACTCATGAT